TTTCCCATTTCAACTCTGCGGTAGAGTTTAGATGGAGGAGACGGAGAAAGTTAAGGTCGTTGTGAGATGTCGACCTATCTCTCAGCAGGAGCTAAACCAAGGCCATAAGGTCGCGGTCCGAGCTTCTGCGGAAGATAACTCTGTGATATTGGAACAACTAAATGGAAAAGAGGTGAGGGTGCTCAATTCTTGCTGAGCATACTTGTAAAATTCACTTTTTTTATACTCTGCATCTCAATCTATGATCTTGCAGATTGAAAAATTTGATTTTCATACTAGTTGGCATCAAATTTGACATTGCCCACTTCTGTAAGACTTTTTTTGGTAACCAGTTATCATAGTTGCTGGAGTAATCGTTCAGCACTTTTTGGGCATTTTCGTTCAACCAGGTGTGACTCAAGAGCTCATAAATGAGAAGCAAATATACATAGAAATTCAGGAGCCTAGACGAACATTTTTCTTTGATGCCGTCTTTCCACCGGACTGTGACCAAATGCGCGTGTATAACGTTGCTGCAAGACCGATCGTGGAGAATGTGCTAAAAGGTTATAACGGTGAGCATAACCTACTTGAAACGGATAACTGATAATTGTTTTTAGGAGTTTAAACGCATCCCTCCAAGCGATAGCACATCGAATTCGGCTGAATAGCTAACTAGGAAACACTTTCAAACACTTATAAGTGCTGGCTACATTTATAAACGCACTCGAAAAAAGCAAACTTACTGCACTGCAATTGAATACCTCTAACTCTAATGTGACCTCGCCATTTATATTGAATATCCAAAGAAAAGTCGAAAAGCAACTCGAAAACGCAATAGAAGGTGGAATGGAGAGACGCACTTATTGTTTTTCACATCCAATGTTTTTTTTTCGCTCCGGACAATCTTTGAAACAGTACAGCTACTTTGAAATATCGCGCGTGCTCACATCCCGTGAAGTTTTGGAAACGTAATTCGCCTATCTAGACGTAAAAATGATACTTCTATGAAAGAGTTCTTCCATGTTACTTTATCAAGATAATGTGAAATAATAATGGAATGCTTCACGATTTCTGAATCCCTTCATTTATGAAGGCCAGCAGACAAATGATATGTACAAGTAGTAACGAACCTGAGCACCGCTTCAGCAACGATCAGGAGCAATCACTTGGTTCTTACTGACCGTGGATACTGGAGCAAAGTAGGAAATTTTGAATAGTCGAGTATGTTTCTGAAGTCCAAGACTCTGCAGAGTTGTGGATCTCAGTGTAACTAGAGTGAAACTTTCGCACCATACAGACTGGAAGTAGGGTGCACAGTCTCTAGTTCTGACTATAACCTTCAACCAATTCATTTGAATAAATTTTCATGATTATTTCTTTTTATTTAATCAAACGTTATGAAGGACAGTTAATGAGAAATTGTGTTAAAAGCAGAGACAAGCTTTTAACCTTACAGTAGTTTTGCTGCATTAGCTCAGTGAAATTCACATCTTTGCGGAAAGTTGTGAA